TAGCAGTAGTAGTCGATGTAGTAGTGGCAGTAGTCGCAATCGTCGTGGTAGTCGTAGTAGTAGTAGTAGTAGTAGTCGTCGTCGGAATGATAGTAGCCGTCGTGGCATTACTATCAGTAGTAGTAGTGGTAGTAGTAGTAGTAGTAGTAGTAGTAGTAGTAGTAGTGGTAGTGGTAGTGGTAGTGGTAGTAGTAGTAGTAGTAGTAGTAGTAGTAGTAGTAGTAGCCACAGTAGTAATAACAATAGCTGTGTGATGTAGCGGTGCGAGACCTCTAAGGTAAGCCATGCTACCCGCACAGGGCACGGCCCCCCCCACAAGCGCACACGGGGCGCCCACGTGCGGGCACCAAGCGGGGAGCCCGAAAACTCCCGAGAACCTCGACACTCGATTCCGACACAGCCGTGCGTTCCGCCCCGACTTTCCTGAGGTTATCCCCTCCTCCCCGCCTGAACGGCCAGCAGCCTTCTCGCACTTCGGCTCCGAGGCGCTCTCGGCGAGGCGCAGCCGTTGGAGCGCGCCCCGAGGCTGGAAAACCGCCGAGCACCAACGAAAACTCACGAAAACGTCAAACCTCGCTTCCGAGAAAGCCGTCGCCTGCTGCTCCTACCCCCACTGCCACCCCGAGACTCGGGCTCGCTACAATCAGGGCAAGCACTTTACAACCCGATGGGATACCTCACACACCCAGCAGCACAGGCTCCGAGATCAGCTGTTCTACGCGATCCACCAGTTTACAGCCAGGACGACCCTTCTACAGCCCAGGCAGGCTACGGCCAGGAACTGCTGCATGGCGAGTCGCCACGGCGGCCCCGGCGACACGCTGTGCCGTGCGAGCGGATGCGGCGGGGCGCGTCGCTCCGAATCGCGGGGCGCAGGGCTCGGAGAGGCTCGGGGCGTCGACGCCTGGGGCCTGGGGAGCGGATAGCGTGCCGCGCCGAGGCGTGGTGGGCCAGAACCCGCGGGCCGTATGAGCATCGTTTGTCCGATCCCCAATCCCCAACGGCGTGGGGTGGGCCCAACTGGCCGATCTGCCTCCCTGGATGGGGATATAGGCCGTTCCCTTCGGGTTTCGAGGGGTGTATCCCCAACTGGGGGGGTAACTTGGCGGATGTCTCGAAGGGGATGGGGATGGGGATGGGGGTCGGTTAAACGATCCTGACCGTACCCCACGACCGGCACGGGCCCCGTCGCGGCCAGAGCGACCACTTGACAACCAGAGGGCCTGCTCGGAGGCATTCTCCTCGCGCGGCGCGTGCGATGCGGGCTGCGCCGCGCCCCCCGCCGCGGCGCCCGCGCCGGCGGCCTGCCGAGGGCGGCGACGGCGGCGACAGCGGCGACGACGACCCAGGGACCGACCGGCATTGCTGCCACGAGGTGCCCTTTAGAACAACAGAGCCGACCGTTTAACCACCCACCGTCCTGGAGCAGAGTGTTCTCATAACCGAGGCGTATGCGAAGAAACGAGATTCTTCGAGCGTGAGGCCGACGCGTGAGAGCAGGACGGCCTCGGCAAAAAATGTTCGAAACACAGATGGTGCAGATCACAGAAGGTTCATCTAACAACACGTTTGGGTGGGCCTACAGGCAAGCCGCAGGAGGAGGAGGAGGCGGAGGCGGAGGTGCAGGCGGAGGCGGAGGCGGAGGAGGATGAGGCGAAGGAGGAGGATAAGGAGGAGGAGGCGACGTCGATGGCAGCGGCGACGGCGGCGGCGGCGGCGGCCGGCGACAACAGAGGCGACGGCGATGGTGGCGGCGGCGGGCGTCGGGCGGCAGAAGGGCGGAGGACACGGGCACGTCGCCTGCGAGGGCTGGACCTAAGCGTTGTCTCTGGTCATGTCTTGGTTTGCTGTCCGTTTTGCTCTGCCAGTCGTCCTGTGCCCCCTGCCAAAACGAAGAACAAAGCACAGCCGAAGTCCAGGAAAACAGCGTTCAGGTCCCAGCGCTGCCGCCTCCTGAGGCATCGCCTCCCCAGGCGGTGGACACGTGTGGCGCAGAGCGGAGGGAAAGCGGTAGGAGAACGGGCGGTGGTGGAAAGATTGCAGACTTTGTCTGACCTGAGGCTGGGCGGTGTACGATTGAATAGCGGCAGGAAGAGCAAGGGGCCGAAAGAGACAGACCCAAACCTCCGACGGTGTGCGCGGCTTTCCACCATCAGCGATCCCAGAGCTCCCGACCACTTCCCCAGGGACAGCTTTCCATCGCGGGTCCACGCCTGATGGCTCCAGAGCCCGAGAAGAGCCTCCCAGGACCTCAATCGATGAGCACACACACGCAGGCTTTGGAAAACAATCCTCCGAACATGCGGAGGTGCAGTCATCCTGCTGCCAGCATCGGGTCGGGCGAAAGGGGGGGATAGCAAAGGGGGGGTTTGAGAATAACCTCGCGTAGCTGATTTTCCCGCCGCCTCCCGGCGCCGGAGGCGACGATGTATCGAGGAATGGACCCCTCGGTGGGGCCGAAACCGGCTGCATGCAGCAACTTTCGTACCCCCCCCTTTCCCAATCCCCCCCTTTTTTGTCCGGCCCGACAGCAGCAGCGCTGGGCGAGGAACGGCGGGGCCTGCCTGGCCACGGCGGGCCGCGGCCACGAGGAGAGGCTCCCCGACCCAGCCCGGAGGAACGGACCGAAAATGATGGGAGCGTTTTCGACCACCACCACCATAAGTTGGAGGGGGGAAGAAGGAGGACGAGGAGGAGGACGAAGAGGAGGAGGACGAAGAGGAGGAGGAGGGCACCCTCCCCCTCCAACTTATGGTGGTGGTGGTGGAAAACAGGCCCATCAGAAAACCAGGGCCCAGCATGAGCCCAGGGCCATTCTGATGTCAGCGCCGTGACTGTATGAGAAGGATCCGGATCCGGCCTCCGATGGGGTCCCGTTGACGATGTCGTTGTCGGAGCTGGTGCTGGGCCCCTGGGGGCCGGGCTCGTAGGCGAGCCCACCCCTGATGTGCACCACCTGCGTGTCCTCGGCCCCGCAGTATCTGTCCCAGTAGCCCTTGTCGGGGGGCCGAAAAATCAAGCAGTGCAAGGGCCTTCCCCTCCCCATTCCCCAGCCTCTGCCTCTCATCCTCGTCCTCATCCCCCCATCCTCACCCTACCAATCCTCTTCGTCCTCCTCCTCGTCATCCTCCTCTTCTTCTTCCTCCTCCTCCACCATCCCCACGTCGTCAACAATATCATCATCATCATCATCATCATCATCATCATCATCATCATCATCATCATCATCATCATCATCATCAGCAGCAGCAGCAGCAGCAGCAGCAGCAGCAGCAGCAGCATCAGCATCAGCATCATCATCAGCATCCGAATCATCCACAACAACATCAACAACACTATCGTATACCACAGCAGCAACATCATCACCATCCTCATACTCAACAACATCAGCATCATCATCATTCGCATTGCTAGTATTAACATCATCAGCATCATCATCAATTTCATCTTCATCATACTCGTCCTTACCCACCCGCACCCTCACCCTCACCACCACCATGATGGCTGTGATCATGACCATAATCATGCTCCTCATCCTCCTCATCATAGACAACATCACCACCATCGCAATCACAACATCATCATCACCATCAACATCACCATCTACTTCCTCGCCATCGTCATAATCATCTTCGATAGCAGTATCGTCATCTTCACAGCCATCGTTATCGTCCTCGCCATCGTCATAATCTTGCTCGTTGCCACCAACATCAGCATTACAACCGTCAGCATAATCATCATCAGTAGAATGAGCATCATCATCATGAGCATCATCACCATCATCAGCATCACCATTCGAACCATCATCATCATCATCGTCGCCATCATGATTACCATCATCGTAGTCATCATCATAATCAGTGTCAACATCATTGAAATCAGCACCATCATGATAACAATGCCATCATCAGAAGCATCATCATCTTCAACATCACCAAGATAATAAACATGAACATCATCATGATCATCAACATTAACAACAGTATCTGTAACAGTACCATTATCAGTGTCATCATCATCATCCTCATCATCATAATCATCATCATCAGCAACATAATCATCATCATCATCATCATCATCATTATTATTATTATCATCAGCATCATCATCATTATCATCCTCGTCATCACACTTGTCTCATACGATTATTCCTCCTCATTCTCCTCATCATGGTAATGGTGATGCTTGCATCGTGCCCCTCCTCCTCATCCTCATCACCATGATCGGCAACAGCAGTGTCATCCCTCCGCAACTGTCCTCAGCCCTCTTGGTCCTCTGGCCCATGATCCTCCACAACCTCCTGATATTCACCTTCATCCTGATCCTTCCCTCCCCCTCCTCACCCTCCCCTCAACCACTCCTCCCCCCCTCCCGATGTGCGACTCTGGCCACTTTCTGGACCAAGGACCTTCCGGTCCTCGCACCCCGCCTCGTCGACCCCGTGCTCCTCGGCCCATGCGTCGTGCCTCCACGTTGATGTCCGCATCGGCCTTGCAGGGCACCTGGAGGGCTGGCGGAAGTAACACCCCGGCTGCGACGGGTGCCCGTTGATGATCGTGTTCTCCTCCACCTCTGGTGGCGCGGGCGGGCGGCCAGCGGATTGCGGGGAGTGGAACACGAAGGCGAGGCAGGAGCGAACTCCACCTGAAGGCCCAGAGCTGTTGCTCAGCATGTCGCGGCGGTGGCCCCGGCGACACGGCATTGCATGCCTTGCAAGCGGACAGCGCGCGTCGCTCCGCCCAGCGGGGCGGGAGGCCGGGAAAGGCGCGGAGCGTTGACGCTCGGAGACGGGGGCGTGCCAGCGTGTCGCGCCGAAGCGTGGTGGGCCAGAACCGGCGGCGCGACACGCTGAGCCAACGAGTCTGAGCGTAGATCTGTGTCGAGGTGGCCACCCGCGTTGGGTTCGGGGGTATGGCGGGAGGTGGCACGATGCCTCCCTGCGGGAGCGAATGCAACACCTCGTTGCATCCCCGTGGGGGGGTCGACTTCCCTGCGGGAGGCGAGTGGCAGACCCTGCACCCCAAAAGAGGGGAGGATCTCACCACGAGCGGCAGTTGATGGGCCTCTTTTTCACCACCACCACCGTAAGTTGGAGGAGGAGGGGTTCCTCCTCCTCCTCCTCCTCCTCCTCCTCCTCCTCCTCCTCCTCTTCCTCCCTCTCCTACATATGGTGGTGGTGGTGGTGGAAAATGGGCCCATCAGCAGTGGCGGCGACCGCCCAGCGACACCGTGGCGGCGACCGCCCGCGACGGCCAACGGCAGGCAGGGCAAAAGGCGGCGCCGCACGCGGTGCCCGCGGTGCAGCACGCGGCCTTTCCCCGCTCGGTGCCCCGTGGCTGCGGCCCTGCGGCTCCCTGGCTCGGTGCCCTGCGGCCGGTGCCCCGTGGCCTCTGCGAGGCTGCCAGCGGCCGCCCCCGCTCGGTGCCCCGTGGTCGATTCCAGCACCCGCTGCCTGGGGCCCACTGCCGCGCGGACCCCAAACGGTGCGCCATTGCCACGCGCAGGGAGACGCAGCACAGTGCGAGCTATGTGGCGCAAGTTATCATGTGACCTATGCGGTGCAATCAGTGTGGTGGACGATATGTATTGTGCGAGCTATGTGGTGTGGTGTGAGCTCAGATGCTTAAGGTATGCGGTAAGGCGTATGTGCTGTGCGCCATGTAGTGAAAGCTACGAAGTGACACATAGACATACACACATATATATGTAACCATACAAACATATATATACATATATATATAGATGTAGTGTAAATTCCGTTGTGTGAACTATGTGGTGAAATCTACGTGGTATCTTTTATGTTTCAGATAGGCGGTGCACGAACTATGTTAAATAAGCTTCACTCTGAAACATATGTGGTGCGCAAGGTGACGGATGCGATGCGCGCTAGGTTCTGGAAGCTGTGCGGTGTAACATGCGTGCTGTGAGCAATCGTGTGCAAGCTGTGCTGTGTAAGCTGTGCGGTGTGAGGTATGCGGTGCAATCGTGTTACCCACCCTGGGCAGGGACCCCCACGAGCGCCCTCGAGGCGCCCACGGGCGGGCACGAAGCGAGAGCGGGGCACCCACGAGGGGCCGCGGGCGGGCACCAGGCAAAACCTCGGCGTGCGCGGGGCGCCCACGAGGCGCCCACGGGCAGGCACCGCCAGGCGGCACCTCGGCACACACCCCGAGCGCGGGGCGCCCCCGAGGCGCTCTAAGAGCGGGCACCTCTGGGCGGCACCTCGGCAGACCCCCCTCTCCCGCGCGGGGCGCCCCCGCGAGGCTCGCACGGGCGGGCACCAGGCGCAACCCCGACATGGCCCCCCCCCAGCGCGGGGCGCCCACCGGCGCCCACCGATGGGGAATCGGCCGAAGCCCCACCATGCCCGCTCAACTCCTTCCTCCGCCGCTGTGCCTGCGGCACGTTGAGGCGTGGAAGGATGCCAAGGGGCTGCCTGGCGCGGTCTCTGACAGCCTTCTAAGGGACTCCCCACCCGCTCCAGCAGCACCCAGCCGACTGCTGCTCCTGGGGGGTCCCTGGTCGGCCATGGGAAGCTCTCCAAGGCTTCCATGACAGCCCAGGAGCTCCCCAAGACAGCCCGAGAGGACCCCGAGTCGCCTAACGATCGCTCGGAGACACCCAAGATGGCCTCTGGGTGGCCCAAGGGGCCTCCAAGACGCCCCAAGAGGTCCCCAAGAGGCCTCCCAAGAGGGCCCCAAGGATATCAGCGTTCTCGCCTTTTCGGCTTTCCGATGTCCCAAGGCGGCCCGAGGGGCCCCGAAGACCATCCCAAAACGGCCCACGAGGCCTCCAAGAGGGCCCCAAGTCGGCCTAAGTGCGTTCCAAGACGGCCTAAGATGTGCCCAAGACGGCCCAAGAGGGCCCAATGACGGCCCCACAGGGGCCCACGAGAGGGAACACGAATTGAACATCCGAGCCTTCCGCCCCAAGAGCCCCCAGGAGGCCCCAAGAAGCGCCCAGGAGGCCCTAAGAGGCCCCCAAGAGGCCACAAAAGGCCCCCAAGAGACCAAAAAGAGGTTCCAAGAGGTCCCAAAACTGCCCACAAGATGTCTCAAGCATTCATTTTAAAAGGCACCCGAAAGGCCTCCCACGACATCCCACAGGCAGCGTACCCACAAAGCAGGCACGGTGGCGGGACTTGCCGTAGGATTCTGGATCTACCGCCCCCTGTCGATTCATCGCAGGGGTGCCTGGCGTGCCAAACCCTCTCGGTTTTGGTTTTGTTGTTTTCCAAAAGAACTCCCCCGGGGGCTCCGGCGCGTCCCGCCGGCCACCCGAAAGGATCTTCCAGAGGTGGTTGCCGAGGGTTTTCCTGCCCCAGATGGCTCGAAGATGACCTAAGATGGCCTCCAAGATGCCCAAGATGGCCTCCAAAACGGCAAACATGGCCCCAAGATGCCTCCAAGACGGCACAAGATGCACCCAAGACGGCCTGAGATGGCCTTCAGATGGCCCAAGACGGCCCAAGAGGCCCCCAAGAGGCCTCAACGTGGCCCAAAAGGTCTCCAAGAGGTTTGTCCGTCGGTTTTTGAAGGATTTTGGTATTTGCGCCTTTTCGGCTTTCCCACGGCCTAAGACGGCCCAGGAGGCCCCCAAGATCGCCCCACGATCGCCCACGAGGCCTCCAAGATGGCCCCATGACGGCCCAAGAGGCTCCCAAGATGCTCCCAAGAGGGCCCCAAGACCGCCCTAGAGGCCTCCAAGACGCCCAAGATGGCCTCCAAGACGGCCAAGATGGCCCCAAGGTGCCTCCAAGACGGCCCAAGATGCACCCAAGACGTCCTAAGGTGGCCTCCAGACAGCCCAAGACGGCCAAAGAGGTCCTCAAGGAGGGCCCGAAGAGGCCAAAATCATTGTTTGTTCCTCAGGTTGAAGGATTTTGGTATTTACTTCGGCCCAAGAAGCCCCCAAGATCGCCCACGATGCCTCCAAGATGGCCCCATGATCGCCCAAGAGGCCCCCAAGACGGCCCCATGGGCCCAAGAGGTGTCCAAGACTGCCAACATGGCCTCCAATACGGTTAAGATGGCCCCAAGATGGCTCGAAGACGGCCCAAGATGCACCCACGACGGCCTAAGATGGCGTCAAGATGGCCCAAGACAGCCCAAGGGGCCCCTTCAGAGGCCTCAAAGACGGACCAAACTGCGTCCAGGAGGTCTTCCAGGAGGGCACGAAGAGACCAACATCATTGATTGTCCTTAGGTTGTTGAAAGATTGTTGCATTTGCTTCTTCTCGACATTCCCGAGACGACCCAGACAGGACCCCAGGACGGCTTCCGACAGCATCAGACAAGCCAGAAACGCCCTAAGACGGCCAAAGAGGCCCCCAAGAAGGCCCCAGAGGCCCCCCATAACCCTCCCAGGAGGCCCCAAGAGTGCCCCAAGAGGCGCCCAAGAGGCCTCCTCCTCCTCCTCCTCACCATTTTTCCTCATCCTCCCCCTTCTCCTCTTCTTGCTCCCCCACGCGTTCCCTGAAGTCTTTCCAAACCGACTCGGGGAACAACTGGCCCGATGGCTTGGCCAAGCCCTGGCGCAGCTGTCGGCCACAGAGGTGCTTCCAAAAAAACAAGCATGGCGGCGGTGATTCGCCGTAGGCGTCTTCGATAAACATGTACGTTGTTGCGCGGTGGATGTGCACGCTGCATGTGGTGCAAGCTATGTGGTGCAAACTATGCGGTGCAATCTACGTGGTGCAATCTACGAGGTGCAAGCTACGCGGTGTAAGGGATGTGGTGCATGCCCGGAGGTGCAAACTGTATGATGCAAGCGATGTGTTGCAAGATCCGTGGTGCAATCGACGTGGTGCACGCTACGCGGTGTAAGCTATGTGGTGACACATTTATGGCCACAGGGCGGCCGCAAGTGGCCACGGGGCGGCCACGGGCGGCTACGGGGCGGCAACATCATCGGGTGACTCACCCAATTCCTCAGTAAGACAAGCCAGGGCCCCTGGACGCAAACCTTGGGTGGGGAATCTGCTCCAGTGTGTCCTACGGTTGCAAGAGCAGGCATGCAAGAAAGCAAGTCGGGAGGGGAAACGTCGGGCTGGAGTCGGCGACTCCTCCGCAGGTTGCCTGGCGGGGTGGACCACCACACCTTCGTCGGCCATGGGTGGACGATCGGGGGTCGATGCGTTGCCCCCCGAGGCTGCGTACGACCGCTGCCCCATCGGTGATCCTTGTCGACTAACTTTCGAATCGCCAATCGGGTCTCTGGTGGCCGTTCGGGACGGTCTGGGCACGCACGGAACGCCCCTGGCCAAACGCAGCCGCTGGAACGCACCCCGAGGCTGTAAAGCCTGGCCTTCGGGGGCTGGGCGGGGCGGTTTGGTGGGTGCGCGGCGGGAGGAGAACGAGGACGTTTAGGTATACGTCGACACCTGGGATGAAAACTGTGCCTGAATGTGTGGCGTGAGGCTTGAGCACATGGACGCTGGTGGCTATATTACAATTCCTGAAGAACTCCCGTCGTACAGGGAGCTGAGGCTGGCCACTAGGACTAGGACTAGCAGCCGAGCCGCTGAGGCTTTTTGGGCCACTAAGACTTGACATTGCTTTTGACATGTAGCGTCTCCCCCCTTACTCCGTGTAGCTAGCAACGCCGCTCGAACACCTGCCTGCGCACGCGCCTTGCGAGTTACGGGAACGAGGACAGATCAGAAGGACGAGGAGAAGGACGAGAAGGAGGTGGACGAGGAGGAGGTAGAGGAGAATCAGAGTAAGCCCAAGAGTCATCAACGATGTTGACACACACCCTCCCTCCAAGCTCCCTCTTCATAGGCCCCATAAAAAAGGCGCACCTCTACTGAGGGAACTGCATCAGAGGAAGACAAATGTTTGAAGACCCTGAAGCATGATTCTCAGGACTCCAGCGCCACGGAGCGACCTGACTGTTGCGTCTTGACGATCCTGAATCGTGCCAGAACGCCGTTCCTGTGACTTCAACACCGCTAATCAACGTAACTGTTGGACCCTCATAATCCTGAATCTTTCAAAAACTTCATTTCTGGTACGTTGACCATGAGAAGCCGTGAAACTCTTGCAATCATTCAAGAAGGGGGGCGCTAATTAGAGCGCCACATTTTGAAAACGAGTCGCACGCAATACGTGAAACTCTTCCACATGTTTTAGGATGTGCGCGGCGCTAAGGCGAGAACCATGTTTTGAAAGCCACACGACCTCAACGCGTGAAGATCTTGCAATGATATAAACGAATTTGAAATTCACCCGTGCTCAACCGGTGAAACTTCTACAGAGTTTTAAAACGAGTGTGCACGGTGCTGAGGCGAGAGCCACATTTTGAAAACGGTCCACCCTCCATCTGTGAAACTGTTGCCCATTTCACCTTGAGGGTCACAAATGGTGAGGAAGTCTAAGGCGAAACGCCCAGCCCGCCCTTTCGACCGGCCTCGGGATGCGACAGAAGGAGGAGAAGGAGGAAGACGAGGAGGACGAGGAGGACGAGGAGGACGAGGAGGAGGAAGACGAGGAGGACGAGGACGAGGAGGATAATACACTGCAGGAAGAGCGCCGCGCAGTACACAGGAGGAGGAGGACGAGGACGAGGAGGAGGACGAGGACGAGGACGAGAAGGAGGAGGAGGAGGACGAGGCGGAGGAGGAGGAGAGGGAGGAGTCGGAAAAGGAGGAGGACGAAGAGGAGGAGGAGGAGGAGGAGGAGGAGGAGGAGACGGAGGAGGAGGAGAGCAAGGAGAAGGACGAGCAGAACGAGGAGGAGAGGAGGAGGTGACAGGCTGCTGGGCCCTTGGGGCGCGGGACCGTGGAACTGGCAACCCTCATCCTGCCCTTCCCCCGTCCGCCTCGAAGCCCTCCGGGGCCCCGACAGAAAGAACAACCGCGTGGTGACGCACCCCGCGCGGTGGCCTCGGCCCCCCCGACCGACCTCACCGCGCGGACCGTCACCGCACGGCCTTGGGACCTTCAAGAAGAAGAAGAAGAAGCATAATAAGAGAAATAGTAAGAAAAAAATGAGAAGGAGAAGGAGGAGAAACAACGGCACTCACAGGAACGTCTGGCGCCCCGCGCGGATTCTTCCTGCATCTGCGCTGGACCCCCCCTTCCCTGGCGCGCGGAGCGCGCCGGGGGGCTCCCCGGACCTCGGACCCGTAGACCTCCTCGGACCCGTAGGACTCCTCGGACCCGTAGGACTCCTCGGACCCGTTGGCGGCCAGCTCGCCCTCGGCGGGCGCCCTCGGAGCCAGGAAGCCGCCGCCGCCCGCCGGAGCGGGCGAGGCAGGGCTCGTCGACGCCTCGCCGCTGCTTGCGCGCGCCACGTGCAGCAGCGCGAGCAGGGCCGCGGCGCGGGCGAGGGCCATCCCGCGGCAGGGGAGGAGGAGGACCGTTGCCCACCACCGCCACCAGAAGTCGGAGGGGAAAGGGGTCCTCCTCCTCCTCCCTTTCCCCTCCAACTTATGGTGGTGGTGGTGGAAAACACGCCCATCAAGCTATGCACACACGCACGCTGATCCTGGCCAGGCCCACTGCAGTGAGGGCAGAGGGCCACCCTCGCAATAGCGAAGCGCACGCCGACGAGCGGCGCCCCGCTCTAGCAGGCGCGCCTCCGCAGCTGCCAGCAGCGTTTTCTCAAGCGGCGTTTCGGCATTGAGCGGAGGAGGAGGAGGAGAAGGAGGAGGAGGAGGAGGAGGAGGAGGAGGAATGGGCGAAGGGGGGGGTTTAGCTCCAGACCTCTGCTCACTGCGACTGTTTGCAACAGTGCGTCCTGGGGGGGAGACTCCACCTGCTCGAAACAGGCGCCCAAAACAGCCGAGTTCCACTCGATGCGTAGGGGGGGGAGGGGAGGGGGTGCGAGGGCCAGCGCCGATCGGCAAAACAGTGAGTACAAACACGATCACCAGGGGCAGGGCTGTTTTCAGTGGAATCCTGGGGGCTTTTCAATACAGTAGGGCGCGACCACAAGAAACCTTCCACAAGAAACCCAACCCTTAGACCCCAGTACGTCCATTGGTATTAGGTGTGGGAACGTCACGCTTTCCATCGCAAAACCCTCGAAATCCAAGAAACCCAAGGTAGCCTGGGGTCAAGCTAGGTGTTTTTGGCACGGGCCTCCACTTGTGTGGCAGAGTCAGAGCCATACGTTAGTCATGTTTGCGTGCGTGTGTTAGTGTGTTGTCTTGTTTGTCCGTGCGTCGTCCGGTATTTGTTTGTGTGTGTTTATGAGTGTGTGTTGTTTTTGCTGGTCCCCACCAGACAGGTTGGGGTCCCTAGATGTGTTTTTTATGTGTTATATTACCCCGGCAAAGCAACCTAACAGCGATGTGTATAAGCATATCTGGGAGCATTCCCCTTAAGATTCAGGTGAGAATCCAATTGTAGAATTCTGCTGCTCTCGCAGTCGCAGTCGCATTCGCAATGACAGTCGCAGTGGCAACGGCCTTAGGACCCAATAGAATCCTAAGGATTCCTAGGGATTCCTAAGGCATCCTTAGGCATCCTTAGGAATCCATAGGAATCCTTAGGAAACCTTAGGAATCCTTAGCAATCCTGATTCATAGGGATTCCTAAGGATTCCTGAAGAATCCCAAGGATTCCTTAGGATTCCTGAGGATGCTTAACTATGCCTACGAATTCCTAAGGATGCCTACGGATTCCTAAGGATTCCTATGGATTCCTACGGATTCCGATGGATTCCTACGGATGCCTCAGCCTGCCTCAGTTTCAGCCTCAGCCTCAGCCTGCCTCGGCTTGCCTCAGCCTCAGCCTCAGCCTGCCTCGGCCTCAGCCTCAGCCTGCCTCAGCCTCAGCCTGCATCAGCCTCAGCCTCAGCCTGCCTCAGCTGCAGCTTGCCTCAGCCTCAGCCTCAGCCTCAGCTACAGCCTCAGCCACAGCCTCAGCCTGCCTCAGCTTCAGCCTCAGCCTCAGCCTGCCTCGGGTCGCCTCAGCCTCAGCCTCAGCCTGCCTCGGCCTCAGTCTCAGCCTCAGCTTGCCTCAGCCTCAGCCTCTCAGCCTCAGCCTGCATCAGCCTCAGCCTCAGCCTCAGCCTGCCTCAGCCTCAGTCTCAGCCTGCCTCAGCCTCAACCTGCCTCAGCCTCAGCCTCAGCCTGCCTCGGCCTCAGCCTGCGTCAGCCTCAGCCTCAGCCTGCCTCAGCCTCAGCCTGCCTCAGCCTCAGCCTCAGCCTCAGCCTGCCTCGGCGTGCCTCAGCCTCAGCCTCAGCCTGCCTCGGCGTCAGCCTGCCTCGGCCTCAGCGCGCCTCAGCTCGGGCATTCAAGATATGGCACAGGACTTGTGTTCTGGGAACACGAAGATCACGAAGTGGCCCACAGTTGGCTCCGGGCAATCAAAATGTGATACAGTAATGGTGTTCTGGGAACACGAAGAACACGAAGTGGCCTACAGTAGTTGGCTCCGGGCATTCAAAATGTGGGCTGGGAATGGTGTTCTGGGAACACGAACACGAAGTGGCCTACGGTTGGCCCCGGGCATTCAAAATGTGTCCTGGGAATGGTGTTCTGGGAACACGAAGAACACGACGTGGCCTACAGTTGGCTCCGGGCATTGAAAATATAACCTGGGAATGGTGTTCTGGGATCAGGAAGAACACGAAGTGGCCTACAGGTGGGTCCGGGAATTCAAAATGTGGCCTGGGAGTGGTGTTCTGGGAGCACGAAGAACACGAAGTGGCCTACAGTTGGCTCCCGGCATTCAAATGTGGCCTGGGAGTGGTATTCTGTAGGCTCCAGGCAGTCAAAATGTAGCTCCTGGCAATGAAAATGTCGAGTCCACGGATTTCCCCGGCACCCGTCCGGATCCCGCCCAGACCCCCATGGGGAGTCATGATGCTCTCTTTTGACCCTACTAGAAACCTATCAGTCTTCGCTGTTAGGTAATTAAAACACAAAACACTTTCACGGCCACTCCTATCATGCATACCGCGGCCGCCAGACCCCAAGTTGTCCTGTCTGTCCCGGTTATCCCGCCTCGCGCCCTCGACAAACACGACAGAACACACCATGCATACCGCAGCCGCCAGACCCCAAATTGTCCCGACTGTCCTGGTTATCCCGCCTCGCGCCCTCGACAAACACGACAGAGCACACCCTGCATACCGCGGCCGCCAAACCCCACGTTGCTCCGAACGTCCCGGTTATCCCGCCTCGCGCCCTCGACGAACACAACAAAACACACCCTGCATACCGCGGTCGCCAAATCCCAAGTTGTCCCGAGAATCCCGGGTGTCCCGACTCGCGCCTTCGACGAACACGACAGAACACAATATGACGCAACAGAACATGACAGAACAGAGAAGAGCATGACAGAACATGGCAGAACATCACATAGCAAACTCAGGACAAAATACATGGCACCAACATATCACAAAACATACCCGAGCACAACCTTACATAACAGATGTGTGTTTGTGTGTTTCGCGCATGTGCCGCAACGGTCTGCACACTCACGCATGGGAGGGACGACGAAGAAGAGAGAAGGGGACGTCTGATACAAAAGCCTCGAGGGCCACCTCTGGGGCCAACCGAATGACGGAGAATGGGGGCAGGGAGTGGCTGAGGATAGAAAAGGGGGGCGAATGATAAACGCGGAAAGGGAACGCGAGCGGCGCACCGAGGAGTAGAAACGGAGAGAAAGGAAGTCATGCGGTTGATCATGCCAAGAAAAGGGCGAGGTTGACGACTAACCACACAAAGCTCCACTGTACGTACACTGCACACGGAAATCCATCGCCGAGCTCCCTGGCTCCTGGGCCGGCCAGACGACGCCGTGCATAACATCGAGCCCCTCCGACGGGCGCGTGGATTGGCGCGGACGCGGCGGGAGGAAGACCCGCCAGGAGCACGCACTCTCGAGTGTCATCGCGGACTTCTCCGATCGGCGCTGGGCCCTCCGCCCTTGCTCACGGAGTGCGCCAGGGGGCGGGGGGCCCAGCGCAACTCCAGGAAATCCGCGCGGATCTCTGAAAGTTCATGGCTCTGCCAGTCCAGTGCGAGGAGCGAAGCTGCTGGGCCAAAACGGCTCCACGTCGGTCGGGAGATGCAGGCACAACCGCAAGGAGTATAGAGCTATGTTGCCCCCATCCTACTTAAGGACCACATCCCAAACATTAGTTCGAGCACCCAGAAAAGTGTCGAAGGAGTGTCGAAGGAGTGTCGAAACAGTATCGAAAGAGTGTCTCCCAGGACCCGACACGTGAAAATTCTCGATGTTGGAGGTGTTTTCCTGGTGCTCGAAATTCATTCTGGTGAACAAGGCTAAAGTAGGTTGGAGCATCATAAGTCTAGAGAAGATTGAGGCTCAACCCCTTCCTGGCCCTCGAGCCCTGCCCACCCGTGGCTGCGAGAACCTCCAGAACGCCAACGAAGAACCCAACAACATGTAAGTCCCGGGGGGGGCTGCGTCTTTCCCGCGAGCCAAGGGGCCCTGCTGTCTGCGCGAGGAAGTTCGAAGGCAGATTTCAAATCAAATTGCGTGGCGCGCTTGCCTCGGCAAGCAATTTGCCGCGACGCCAGGAGCTGCTCTGACGGCACATCTGTTGGCAACAACGACAGCATCGCCACCGCCGCCGCCAGTCGTCGCCGTCGGCGCCGCCGTGGGCACCATCGCCTTCGCCGCCGCCAGCGCCTTCGCGTGAAGCAAGGGCGTCCCGTTGCAGATGGGTCCTAGACCCCGGGGCCAACTCACGAGCGGCGAACGTATCTATATCGACGTCCTTGCTGTCTTGATTCCGGGCCGCGACTCTGCGGACACGTGGTCGTTCGGTTACTTCCCGCGCGGGGCGGACGCCGGAAAACGCCCTAGATCCATGGAACTGCGGCTCGAGGGCCCCGCCCGCGAGGCCGTGGATACCGTGATGCCCTCTTCCGGCTACGACCAGCTCTTCGTCCCGAGTCGTTTTCTCAGTGCCCCGAGGCCCAGAAAGGTCGGCTACACGCAAGAGTGACCCCTGGTGCGCGGCTTCTCGGGGGACGCGGGGTGGCGGAGCCCAGGCGCGCAAGCCGCTGCCGCCGCATCGCGCTCGGCAGCCGGGGGGCGCCAGTGGGCCCCGCACCCGAGGCCACTCCGGCGAAGGGTCACTCTTACGTGCAGTCGGGAAGGGCAGGATGCGGTCTGCACAGGGTTGGGTCGGGCCTGTCCCCCTAAGGGGGATTGTGGACGAACCAACAAATAGCCTAAAGATACCGAAAAACAGTCAAAACATAATCAAGACATCGTCCCCAGACTATCATTTCAACTACTCTTGGATATTCCCCATGTAGAGGGACAGGCCCGACTCAAGCATAGGGTGTGGTTAGCAACCACCTTGGGGGGGGGTGGGCGAGGACCTCGAGAAAAGAGGTCTCCGCCGCGAGCCCGGACGAGAGCTCATCGGACCTGTGGCGCAGCGTGGTGTCCCCTTGAGCCCCCAGGGCGCCGATCGCGAGCCACACCCCAGCGTAACCACACCAATTCATCGAGCGGCGACAGGAAAGGGGCCCGACACACAAACATATACACACAAATCCCAAGATTCCCCATATGTTCCAACATTGTCTAGATTTTCGTCTTCCCCCCCACTTCCCATCTTTACCTATATTTTCCCGGGGATCGACGCTTCTTTGTCTGCGTCTTTTTCCCCTCCTGAGAGAGGAAAGGGGTCTCACGCAGGATGTCACAGCGATTTTGCGCGGTGGCTTACGCGGGCCGCCGGCGCGGCACGTCAGATACACTCGAAGCGAGGGCGCTGACGGGGCGACCTCGCGCGGGCAGCTTAGGCGCCGAGGTCGGTGACAAGACGAGCCACTTTTCCTCCGTCGCTCACTTTGAGCCACCGGCCTTTGCTTCACTAGGGGGAGCGGGCAATGGCATAAGCATAAAAAACTCGGAGGTCCGCGCGGGTTTCTCGGATCGGCGCTGGACCCCCCTCCCTGGGGCGCGGAGGGCGCCGAAGGCGGCGCCAGAGGCGCCAGGGAGCGCCGATCCGAGAAAGCCGCGCGGACCTCAGAGTTTTTATGTTTACTTGTGTCATTGTCCGTTCCCCGCTTCATAGCGTTAGGTCGGGCGTGTCCTCTTACAGGCGAACTTTGGACAAACAATTAAAGTCCGCCGGCCCCCTTGCGGGGCCACCAGGCTGTAGGCCAGGAGTGTGTTGCTCCCTGTGCTTGTTGCAGCTTCCAGTTTCCACTGTTACAATTCTGTTTCTTGCTGCTAACTGTTCCTTGTTGATGAACGCGCGAGGGGGGTGCCCCAAACCAGCAGAACTAGCACGCCCTGGGAGGGTTCTCAGAATTTCTGCAGGTTAAACTTAAAACCCCTCACGCAGATCCGTAGGGTCAGGGTCCAAAAGCACAAAGGATTTGCCACAATTCTGAAAATTCGGTGGCACCCCACACGCAGATCCGCAGGGTCAGGGTCCGAAAACACAAAGGATTTGCTACAATTCTGAAAATTCGGTGGCACCCCACACGCAGATCCGCAGGGTCAGGGTCCAAAAACACGACGGATTTGCCACATTTCTGAAATTCGGTGGCACCCCTCACGCAGATCTGGAGGGTCAGGGTGCAAAAACAGAAGGGATTTGCAACATTTCTAAAATTCGGTGGCACCCCACACGCAGATCCGCAGGGTCAGGGTCCAAAAACACAAGGGATTTGCAACATTTCTGAAATTCGGTGGCACCCCTCACGCAGATCCGTAGGGTCAGGGTCCAAAAACACAAGAGATCTGCCACAGTTTTGAAATTCGGTGACACCCCTCACGCAGATCCACAAGGTCAGGGTCCCAAAACGCAGGGGATTTGCTACATTTCTGAAATTCGGTGGCACCACTCACGCAGATCCGCAGGGTCACGACGTCTTACGAACCGCCAGGTGTGGTAACCCCTCTGGTGATCAATTGGTTTTGCTTATTACGAGTCGGCCTCGCATGAAGTTCCGATACTGCTTCACGACAGCGCCCAGGCCTCATGACATAGCTCTTGCATAGCGCATTCTCCGCGAGAGGGGGCCGGCGGCAGGGAGCGAGGCCCTTACGCATAGTCAAACAAAATACACCGAACAAATGCTCAAATATACTCAAAAACATTGTCCCCAGACTCAATCATGTCATGATTGAGTCGAGTGTCCTGACGGGGGACACGCCCGACTCAATCATGGTGAGCGTCGCCGTCGGCGCCCCGCCGAACAGCGCCCCGGCGCTGGCGGCCGCCGGCGCCGGCGCCAGGGCGGCGCCGCCTGCGCCATCGGCGCGGCGGCGCTCCGCCCGGCGGCGCGCGGCCGCGAGCGGCTGCGGCCGCGAGCGGCTGCGGCAGCGCGGGCGGCGTGTGGCTCCCCCTGCGTGCGGGGGCCTGCGTCCCAGAATTCGGTTGGTCATGTCCTCGTACAGGCGGATTTGGGGTCCAAAAAGGTTCCAACAAAAACGCACATAACATAATCGAAACACCGTCCCCAGACTAGTGCTCAACTGTTTCTGGATATACACAAGTAGGTCGGGCATGTCCTCCTACAGGCGGGCTTTGGACCAAGAATCGAAACGTCGTCCCCAGACTATTTTGTTGTTGACTATTTTTGGATATTCCGCCTGTCGAGGGACACGCCCGACGCAAGGCTGCGGCCGCGCGTGCGGTTAGTTGCTCCCCCCCTGCATGTGGGGGGAGGAGGAGGAGGGCAGAGGAGGAGGAGGAGGTGGAGGAGGAGGAAGTGGAGGGGAGGAGGAGGGAGGAGAGGAGGAGGAGGAGGAGAGGAGGAGGAGGAGGGAGGAGGGAGGAGGAGGAGGGAGGAGGGAGAGGGAGGAGAGGGAGGAGGGAGGAGGGAGGAGGAGGAGGAGGGAGGAGGAGGAGGAGGAGGAGGAGGAGGAGGAGGAGGAGGGAGGAGGGAGGAGGGAGGAGGGAGGAGGGAGGAGGGAGGAGGAGGAGGAGGAGGAGGAGGAGGAGGAGGGAGGAGGAGGAGGAGGAGGAGGCCCCCAGAAGCTCCACGGGCGGCGCCACGCGCAGCGCCGAGCACGGCCGCGTCCAGAACCAGGCGCGGGCGGAGGGACGAGCGGGGGCAGCGGGAGGAAGCAGGGGCCTCACGGATGGGGTCCGAGGGAGGAGGCTCCCACTGCTCGGTACAGGCGCCCCAAACAGCCGAGTTCAACTCTATGCGTAGGGGGGGCAAGGGGAGGGGGTGCGAGGGCCCGCGCCGATCGGCAAAACAGAAGTAAAAAAAAGATCACCAGGGGCAGGGCTGTTTTCAGTGGACACCTGGGGGCTTTTCAGCACATTAGGACCCGACCACAAGAAACCTTCCACAAGAAGCTCAACCCTGAGACCCCAGGACGCCCACGGATCTCCGGTGTGGGAGCGTCACGCTCTCCACCGAAATGCCATCGAAACCCAAGAAACCCAGGGCAACCTGGAGGCAAGCAGGGTGTTTCTTGGCACGGGTCTCCACTGTAGATGGGGCGGGAGGATCGCGCCGCATCGCCGATGCATCGCCGATGCATCGCTGGTGCATCGCCGATGCAGCGTCGATGCGTCGACGACGTCGGCGATGCAGCGCCGACGTCGGCGCGGAGAAGAGCGGGCTCCACATCGAGAAGCATCGCTGATGCATCGGCGATGCGGCGCGATCCACCGACCCCATCTACTCTGGGGCGCGGCCTAACCGCTTATCCGCCCCCTTGAGTGACGAGCGCTTTCCGTGGCGTCCCCCTCGGCATCCATGCCCCCCTCAGGCCACACATGTGTGCGTACGTCTTGGGCTAAGGCGAGCGGGACGTCACGGAAGGGGATGGCTTAATTACTATAGAAGCGGAAGAAGAAGAACAACCGCCATAAACATAAACTTTGGGCACTCCGCGCGGTTTTCTTGGATCTGCGCTGGACGCGCCAGGGGCGGCGCCGAAGGCGGCGCTGGGGGGGGGGCCCAGCGCAGATCCAAGAAATCCGCGCAGAGCGCCCAAAGCTTATGTTCATGGCGTGATAGGTCCTTCGATTGCTAGGGGTCGGTTGTGCCGCCCCTGACACTCGGACCCAGGCTGGGCGGGACAATG